GAAACTTTTTAGAAACAGCTGCGCCCAGCGGACGGCCGCCATGCGGCTTCACAGTCACGTATCCCCAGAAGACGAAATATCCCCCCAGTTGCCACCTCCTCTCTTTCGCCCACTCGGATCCAATGAGAGGGAGAAAAGAAGCTCCCGAGGAGCGTTCGGATAGCTTCGTGTGGCTTCGGCTTGTTCAGCAAACAAAGGAAACGATAGCAAAAGGCTATAGAGGAATGAGGCAACTAAAGGCACTTATGACTGATAATCGAATACCCTGTAACACAAACTATTTGTAATATTTTATACTATATATTTAGTTTTTTACTACAAGTACTTCAAATTTAAAGTGGTCACAATACTTTAGATGTTTCTTTAACTTTGTTAGAGATTTGCGCGTTGCTTCCTCGAAATCCCTATACACCCTACACTTTCTTTTGATTGCGGGGTAACTCCCAGAAAAGCACGCAGTGTGAGTGCGTGCTGCTTTCTCTTTCGTGCGTTTTGGGGGCCGCTGCCTCTGTCGACGATTTGAGCGGTGTATTTGTTGTTTTCATATTTCTCCTTGCTGCTCTCCTGCTGCTGCCGCTGCTGCTGCGCTGCCGCTGCTTTGATAGCGCTCCACCTCCTCTTTCTCCTTCTGCTTCTGCTGATCCGCCCGCTACCTGTCCCTCTCCCATCCACCACCCACTGCTGTCGCGCACTCAATTAAGCTTATCGCGCACTGTGCGTGAGTGTTGGTGCGTTGGGGATATTGCTTGTGTTTGCTTTTTTAGAGGTGACTTTCCTCGCATTCGCTCCTTCGAGGCTACGCTTGCTTCTGTCATTCACTGCTACCCCCCACCTCACCCACTTCCTTGGCCACCGAAAGACTGTGTGTGTTGGTGGCGTGTGCAAAGCGGCAACATCAGCAGCGGCCGCAATAGAAAAATCCTCTTTGAGAGGATTAAAATATACACAGCTTTTTCTTATTGTCATGTGCTCTTTATTCCGCCTGCCGCATGCCTGCCTGCCTTGCATCTAACGGTACAGTGGATCCAAGGCGAAAAATGTTGGAGCAAAAAGGATTGTGACTTACAGTGGGGTAATTAGGGTTTTTAGTAAATTAATCACTTAAAATAAATATCAAAGAGCACCTAGCAATTCAAAGCAATTGTTTAATGCTCTGAGGACTTTGTGCTTTTCATTTCTTTTAGGTGCCACTGTGCCCCTGCCTGGCTGCTATCCCCTTTCCCCTTCCGCTATCCATCCCCTATCCTCCATCCCCAACTGGCAATCGGCGCGTCCCACAAACGGACAATGTCCCCTCGAAAAGCTTAAGGGTAGCCAGTGACTGCGACGCCGGCAGCGTCGCTTTCAATTACATTTCATTTGCATTTCTTAGTTGCTTATTTTTCTGTGTGTGGTTTCTCTCTCTGTTTTTTTTTCGCTGATGTTGCCTTTTCCCGCAAACACACACACACACACGTACACAAATATTCTTTTGCAGCCTTAAGTCGGATGCCTGGCCATTCGCTCTCCTTTTTGCGCTTTTCGTTCGCAGAATGCAAAATAGGAAACGGCACAACAGGCACGAGTAGATTTTTTAGGCACCACAGGGCGTATACTTGACGCGGACATTGAGCTGCGCCGGCAGCGACGTCGGCGTTGTTAATTGAATTAAAGTGCCCATGTATGCATGCGTTTGTGTGTGTGTGTGCAAAAGGCTTAAAAACAACAGCAACAATAACAAAAATACAAAATATATATATATAAATGAGAAAAAAACTGCAACCAGCAGGCGGAAATTGTGAAATGAGCAAAGAGCCAGCCCCAGGTGCATTTCGGTCGGAAAATTACCAGAAATCCTTTTGTTTGTTTTCAAATACAATTGCAGTTATCAAAGTTCTTTAAGAATTTATCCTATTTATTTCGTTTAAATAGTAAATATCTATACCAATTAATAAAGTATTTTAGGGTTTTTTTTGTAGGATCTATCAGTTATTAAATACAACATATTTTTATCCTTATAAATGAAACCAAAAGATATTATATTCAGCTAGTTTCAAATTTACCCTGTAACATTTTGAAGATTCGGAGAACGGTAACTATATCCGGGGTCCAAAGGGTTAACTCTGCCTTCTGGCTTCTGTCTTTCTCGACTTGGCTTTTGGCCCATTCTCTTTTCGCGAAGATTTCTGCCTGAGTTACAAAACATATTTTGGTCACTGACCTTTTCCTCTTCTGTTTTTTCTTGTATTTTTTGTTGATTCCTCATTTTTTTGGCTGACTTTTGAGCGGTTTTTGTTTGTGTTCCACTTTTGAATTTAGGTTTTTGCAGTAGTCGGAGTTTTTTGCAGCAGATTGCTAATTAAAAACAGGAGATATATGAGCGACTTGTATGCATTATCAGGATGGACAATCGGAGCAGCAGCAGCAGCAGATAGCCGAAAGGCAGAAGAAATACCTGGCATTCTTTTGAGCTCCGATCGAAGAAGGCACGTCGAGTGATAAAAATCAGAAGTGCATTCAGCGAAAATTTCAGCAAAATGCTTAAGGCAGAAAGTATATGAGAAATATGAGCAAAAGGAGTATTTCGCCAAGTAAAGCTGAAGAAATAAGAACCACGTGAATATACACAGGAAAATGAACAGAACACAGGCCGCGGACAGCGGACGACAACAGACAATTCTTCTTTAGCCTGGCAGCTGGCGACTTGCAAATTAAATAAATAAATATGAAATCATTTTAAATAACAATAATTAAGGAATGTATTGTGCGAATATATATTTTTTTTGGTTCCGATGAATTTTGTCAATACCGAAAAAGTGGCAGGAAACCAGGGAACATTTTTCAGAAATGTAAGTAATATTTGTAAAGCCCCAGAATACAAAAGGAAGTCGATGATATCATATTTATTTTAAAATATTTTATTTACTTGTACAGATAAATCCTCTTTCTTTTTTTAAGATTTTAAAACTAAGAAGATTTATATTTACATTCATATTAAATTTCTGAATTTCGTTTTAATATGTTTTGATATTTATGTCACTTATAATTATTTAACTAAATATATATTAAAATATATTATATATTAAAGAATTAATTAATTATTTAATTTAATTTTTAATAATGGCATTAATTCGTGGCGTGTAGAACGAGAAAGAGAGCCTGCTGAGGAGAGAGTTATTCGGTCTATTCCGATCTGTTCCCCTCTCGCTCTCTAATATTGCGTATACGCCGCATGGACTTTTACTCAATTTTGTTTTTGGGGTTTTTTCATCGATCTTTTTGGACACTGTTAGTCATGTCATCCTCTTTCTCTTTGGCCTTCTCTTTTTCCCTGTTGCTGCCTTTTCTTCTGCTTGTTTCGCTGCTTTAACTGTTTCGATCGCCGGTCGCTGAACAACAGTTATAATTTGAGCATAATTTCAACGGAGCGCAAGGTGTGTGTGCGAGCACAACAAACAAACGAAAAAAAGCTCTACGAAAGAGCAAGAAATAAATATAGTAAAGAGAGCTAAATATCACCGTTTCATACGCCTCCCCACTCCCATCGCCCTATCTCTTTGCGTTTCATTAACAAAACAACCGCAAAATTTATGTGTGATCAGAGAGACTTGGCATTCGTTTCCTTTTTGCGCCAATGCAAAATAATAATTCATGATTGCCACCACCGCTACCACAGTGTGTGAAGTGGGTTAAAAACAAAAACAAAAACTAAAAAACAACAAAAAAAGTAGCAACAAAACCAAAACAAATGCAGATCAAAAGCGGAGATTGGCCTTTTGGGCTGTGATCTTAAAATGGAATTTGCATAATTGAATTTCTGTGGCTTTGGTGGACAGGTGCATCAGGGTTGCCACCTTTAAAAATTATTAATAATTTTCTACTGGAACAGAACATTATTTTCAACTGGTTTTCATAGGCTCAAGTTTGGTTTTCTTGTATTCTAGTGCGTCTATGTCTCATTCATGGATCACTCACTTATTCATTCATTCATTTGGTCAATCACTCAGTTAGTCACTCACTCACTCACTCACTCACTCACTCACTCACTCAATCGGTTCATTCAGAAAATTGCTCGGGGGATCGCATGTGTGTGCGGCAGCATGGAAATTGGAATGTTCCAGGCTGCTAGCTGGCAGCCACTGGAAGCTGTTGGAAGCCGCAGAAGGCGCTGAAACGAACGAAAGGGGTGCGGCAGAGTGGCGACTAGCGACTGGATGTGGATGTGGATGTGGAAGTGGGGGATAAAAAAAGGAAATGGGCGACTGCAAATGACAGAGATCACTGAAGCACGACCGACAAATAAGCGGACGTATCTATGTATCTATGTGTCTAGTATCTGGTATCTGGTATCTAGTGCGGTGGCGCATTACTCCCCATGAACCGCATACCTGTATCTGTATCTGACGGATACACATGCCCTCGACTGCCTTTCCAATAAGCGCGAGCTTCGCATGTAAGCTTGTGGCAAGATTCTAGTTGGATTTCCCGCCAGCCAGGTTTTAATAGACATGGCAGCTTCTTCCCAGACTTTTACGACTCCTAATGTTTTGACCTTTCGAAATCGTCATAGAAAAGAATCCTTATCGGAATTTTAAGAAAATTCTTCCCCTGCAAAGAGTATTCTTCAAAAGTTGAGCTCGCAGTCTGATCTGAAATCATTATCACTAAATTGTGTGGCTTCCTTTTGGGATTTTTTGAAATCCTTATCTGTCATTGATTTTTCGGGGAATACGTAATTTCAAATTGTAATAAATGTATTTCTTGTATATTTTTGTTGTAATTAGTTCGTTGAAAGAATTGTTAAAGGAAAATAATGGATAGACCTTGTTTGAAAATAAAGTCATTATACAAACAACACAAATTACAGTTGCGTGCAAATCTTCAAAGAATCTTAGTTGTAGAGTTACAAAGCTCTTTGCGTTGAGCTTTGTTCATCTTAGAACACGAAGGAATATAATCAATAACACTTCTATTCCTGCTTTGACCTTTTCCATAATTCCATTGAAAATCTTCACACTTACCAATTCTTGGAAGATTCTTAGTAATCCGTTTTGCGGTTTCTTCGGCGAAAAAAGCTTGCAACACTTTGGCCACTTGTTGTTATTGTGTGTGGTTGTTGTTGTTGTTTGTCGGTTACACGTAATTAAGGTAAATAAGGTGAATACGAAGCCAAAAGCGAAATTGCACAAAAAGGCAGAAAGGCAAAACAGCAACAAATGTAATGCAAAAATAGCTGAGGAAACGCCGCGCACGAACCTCCAATCAGAACTGAAACGCAAAAGCTTGCGCCACAACACCGCTTTTGTCCTGAGCACCGATGCGCTGCCCGAAGAGAGGCCCGAAGACTGCCGAGGAGATCCGAAGCCGAACCGAAAGCTTTGATCACGAAACACGAACTGAGCTGGGAATATGGAATATATGGGAATGGTAATGGAAATAGGATTGAGTCCAAGTGGGCGGTATTTGTGTCTGCCTTCTTCCCCCCTTTTTCTGCTCCCGTTTCACATGGCTCTCTTTGGCGAAACGCAAAGCGAAAATAAAAATAAACGCAAGTGGATGTGGACGGACGAGCGGATGAAATGGAATGGCAAGAAGCGAGCGCTTGAATGGCTCCAAATGGTTAAAAGCCAAGGCAGCGCAGTCGCCAGAGGAACACCGAGGGAGAGAGAGAGAGCGAGAGAGACGGAGGAGCTTCGGGAGAGTGACATTTGGGGCCGCTGCGTTGGCGCTCTGCTCCCGCTGATAAGCTTGTGTTGAAATCAAGTCTCCTCCTGAGCTCTCGCTCTCTTCTTGGCGCTCTGCTCTCTGCTCTCTGCTGACCTGCTGCCGCACTGCAGCCCCCACCACTGCGCTGCTGCATCAGCGTATTACGAAATATGACAACAATGCAGTTTCGTCGTCCTCGTTTTCGTTCTGTCGACGCTGCGGCTTCTTCTTCTGCGGCTTCTTCTGCTGCGCCTTCTTGTTCCGTTGCTGCAGCTCTCTCTCTCGGGAAAAGCCTGCTCAGCATAAAAGTCTTAATGCTCTTTTCCACTCGCTCCCTGAGACACAGAGAAAGACAGAGCCAGAGTGGGTGGCTGTGGTTTGTTTGTTTGTTTTCTCCTCACCCACTCTCTCTCTCTCTCTCTCTGTCTTTCCCTCTCTCTCTTCGGTGCACTTGCAAATTGATTGCATTTTAATGGAGTTCTGTCGATGCTAAAAATAGTGACTCTCCCACAGGGGGCGTGGCGGGGGAATTTCTAGCCGGGCGCATTCCTATTGGAAGTGCATATCTAGCAGCGCTAAGCGGTAACTAATTCCAAATGCCAGGCTATTACCGCAAACTGGTTTGATCACAAAAGCGTGCCGGGCCACGCTACATCTCTCTTTCTCTCCCTCTGTGGCTCTCTCTCTCTCAGCCTCCCTTTCCCACCCATTTTGACCCACCGCGCCCCGCTCTTGCCTTTTATAGAACTTCTAACTGAAACCGAAATGATTCCATATTTTCCCCACAAGTTGAATATTTGCTACCTACACACTGAGAAAACAAATTAAGCTAATTTAAATTATGAAATTATGTTCGATATTGTAAAGTAATTAATGAAAAACAAGAAAGGAATCTTCAGTTTTCAGTTGACTTAAAGGATCGAATCGGAAATCGATTATAACTAAGCTGAAAATATGACACTTTTCTCAAAATACCATATCATAACATATCCAAAAATGCATTAATTTTGATTCGGAAACCATTCCTATGTTAGTTTAGGTTTACAATTTAAAAATATTACAAATTTTGCCAATTTTTGTTTAACATTTTAATGATGTAACCCCTTATAAAATGTTGAAAATATGAAATATTGTTTGGATATAGCTTAAACGACTCGGCTGTTCATGCTGATCAAGAATATATATTATTTATAGGGTCGAAAATGATTATTCACAGCGATACACTCTTCAATAATACATTACTTTGTTTCTTTAATATTTATAACGTCATTAAAATTTCTTAAGGTTGTGTAAATAATTTACTAAATATTGATAATTTTTCTCAGTGCATTGTGACACACGTAACCCACTGGTCAAGCGTTTTATGGGATCTCTCAGATCTTGGATCTCGTCAGTGGGTCGCACTCTGGGTAACCCCCGACACAAGTCCGAACGAGGGGCGTTACCCAATCTCCAGAAGGGGGCTGGCCTGGTTATTTGAGGCCATTTAAAGGATCATTAGACATGCATGGGAAAAATGCTCGTCAATCCAATCAGTCAATATGCTGGGTTATTCCTATTGGATTGGGGAAATGGGAATAGTTCCCAGAGCCCCGATACAGATAATGGAGAAGGATTGGGATTGTAGAAATATTGAATGTATCTATGAAGTAGGGTTGACTCCAGTTCCTTGCTTTGTTTTGGGAAAAGAGTATCTTAAATATTTCTTAGGTATTCCTTTAGGTATTGGAAAGCACTAAATACCTTTAAAGTATAATTAAACGTGGAATTATTTAAAAAATTATCAGAAACCTTAATCAATCCTTTGGTAAATATTTATTATCTCATTATTCTGAACCGCATCCCCTTTTAAATTTCGTTCGAGTGTGTTTAGTTAGTTGCAAATTCTGATCATGAATCACCTTTGCAGTGATTCAGCAGGGCGATCTAAGTGCATCCAAGCCTCCCCTTTTTTAGTTTTACCCTCGATTGTAACCAGATAATTTGCATTGCCTTGTGAAACGGCAACAAGTCCCCAAGGGGTTAACTGCACTCACACAGGCACATGAGAGTACTTGTACCCGTACTCGTATTCGGATACGGATTCGTAGTATCTGGCAGATACTCGCTTGGCTTAGCCCTGTCGCTCTGGGCAGTGCCCGCATTTTGTGTGTGTTGTGTTTTTGTTGTTTCTAGTTCTGGGCCCCTGCGATCAACAGGTTTGATCCGATCTGGCCGCCTGCCAGGCCATTTACTACTACTCGGCTTGGATTTTTTCCCGCTATTCAAAGTGCCACACAGCTGAAATAAATTAATTGCTTAATTGTTGCTGCTGCTGCTGCTGCGTTAGCGGCATTATTTGAGATGAAATTTGCTTTTAATTAAGAAACTCTCCTCCACATATAGCGAGGGCGCAAGTTGGTTTTTCTCTCAGCTGAAAAAGGGAACACGGAGAAAAATGAAGGAATGTAAATAATATAAAAGAATTATTATGTACAAAATTGAGTTGAATAATCAAGGATAATGTTGGAAAATATTTACTAAATAAGTAGGTAGATAAAATTCTATTTTAGTTTTAAGGCTGCCAGTCCCTAGGAGATCGCTTCGCTCAGTGTATCTCTCTCTCTTAGCTTTTCAACCTTCAGTATCGCTGTGATGCCTGTGCGTGGGGGCTTTTCCTCTCGGCACTGCCTGTGTGTGTGCGTGTGTGTTTTCATTTTATTAGACCAAAGTCGTGCACTTCGTTAGCCAAAGGCAAAAAGGCAACAGCAAACAGCAAACAGCTAGAGCTAAAGCTAAAGCCTGAGCTAGTGAAACGCGTTCTGCGTGGGATTCTCTAATGCGATGATGAGGTTGCCAGCTATTTGGGCTTTGGCCGATTCTAAAAACTGGTTTTCCACTTGGCCAACTTGCCCATCAAGGAGTCTCCGCCACGAAAACGAAACGAAATCGAATGGCAGTTGAATAATACCAGCAAACAGCCACAAATAAAAAACAATAACAATAAAAAGCAACAAAGAGTTAAATTGCGCATAACATTTGAATAATTAAGGCGCTGCCTTTCTCGCCTGCTTAGTGATATTTATATATATGTGTATATGTTTCGGATTAGGCCAGGGATTCTCCCGATATCAAGAGTGTGATGTGCTGACCTGAATTCCTCACAGTCTACAAAGAGTCTGAGTCTTGGCTCTTTCTCGGAGGGAGGAAAAGCCCCAAAAAGCAATGAAGGAAATCTCCATTTCCCCCCCCCCAGACAAGTCTTTCGGTTTTGATTTCATAATCGAAACGAAAGCTGAGACCCGAGTTTGTTGTTTCGAAATCCGTTACTCGCATTTCCAGCTTTTCCTTGGGATCCTCCTCACTCTCGACGAGATACAAATGTATCTGTGAAATTCAGTTGCCCTTTTCCCAGCTCTAACGGGATCCGGGCCCAGACGGAACCACTTACCAAGCGCTGCTGCTGCAGTAATCTCTCGTTTCTAAGTTAACTGAGAGAAAAACTTGTTTAGGAAAAGTAATAATTACATATTTATCAAGGAAACGCACTATGGGTATTACTGGGACATCTTTAAAAGCATTTAATTAATATTATTTACTACCTGTTCTCGATTTTCTTTTTATAAATAACCTTCCCAATTTTTCTCGGTGCTGCTGAAGCTGCCTTGATGTATTTTCTCACACTCCCAGAGCCGAGAAATGAGTGAGGAACGCCAGCGGGCTGATGGGGACCGCAAAGAAAAGCTGACTGGAAAAAGGGTACTAAAGCTGGGAAGAAATAAACCAGAAGAAATAAGTAAAATTCAGGAAGGAAAATGAAGAAGAATTTCCACATCTTTACTTGCCTCTGATTTTATATTTTAACTCTTTAGGAAGCTTTAGAGATATATCTCTCTATTTTCGTATAATAAATACAGTTTCTTAAGGATTCTGTGATGCTAAAGGTTTTTAACAATAATATTCAGATAGAAATACAAATTAAAGTTGAATTATTTCATATACTTAAGTGCCTGTAGATTTGTTAATTGGAGAAAACTACTCACTCTCTGGCTGATCCCACAAAACTTGTAAAATAATGATAACAATTCCCATTAAAGATCTGTTAGATTCACCTCCACTCGAATCTCTTGGGGCCGAGGGAACCGTGCAGAACTGGCGGGGAACCGTGGAGAACCGAAGACACCATCAACTGGCGGCAACAATCATAATTACGAGGTTAACCTTAAGAGTTGACACAAATCCGGGCCAGAGCCAAAAGCGAGCTGCGCGGCGGCCTCTGTCACTCGTTCCCAGCAATTAACTTCGAATGACACCAAATGCCACCGAGGCACGCCACCAGTCCGCCAGCTCTAGTCGTCTCTAGTATCCACATCCATCCACCGAGGCGGACCCAGAGGAGCCCCTCCATGCTCCATGCTCCATGCCGCCCACCAGATCGGATCGGATTGGATAGCTTCGGTACGGATCGGATCGGTTTGGATCGGATCGGGTCGCAATTGCAAGTGAACGGCAACTTTGATGCCGCCCACAAGGCGACAAAGTTGTTATACCCTTTCGCCGGAATAGGGTATTTTTATTACTTAAAAACGCTTAGCAAAGGGGGTTATATAATATGGATAACTTTTAGATACCTAAACCTCTTTAATATTGTCAAAACTGTAAACATTGCATGCTTTCTTCTGGGAATATCACATAATTAAGGATTTACTATGTATGAATTTCCTTATTTTTTACCAGAATAAATACCATTAAATTTGTAGAGCAATTTATATTCATTTTGAAAATTTTAATGTATTTTATAAATTTATATTTTATAAGCATTTTACTTCATTGTATTATAAGAAATATCCAGGAATCATATATCCTTTTTATAATTGTTTAAGGTGAAAAGAGTTTGTATTATTATAATATAAATTCTTTCAACCTCTATTGATCTTGTATGAGATTTCAATAATAAAATATCCAAGCTAAGTAAATGTTAATTAATATATTTCTAGAGAATATAATAGAATGTTCAAGGGAATGTTCTTCTCTACCCAAAACACACATGATTTGTTGTGACAATCACATTTTTTAAATATTCAAATATTTTATTCAAGACTAAAAGTTTTAAAGGGCATATCAAGATTCGTTTTGAATGTTATAATGATTCCTGATTTGTTGTTATTTAGTTATTTGCTGCTAGAGCCCGCTGCTGCTGATGATGTTGATGTTGCTGATGATGTTGCTGATGATGCTGCTGATGATGCCTGCCCCTGCCCTGATGATGGGTCTGAGGAGCTGCTGTCTTTGGGCATGGGCAGTTTTGCGGTTTATTTGATCAGAGTTCGAGCTAGCATTCCATTGATTTGTACGTAGGACTTGTTGGACAGAGAAAGACAGAGGCAGAGGAGAGAGAGAGAGAGGGAGGGAGAGGTAGCTGGGAAGTCGTACAATGTTCGAAAGAGATGTATCTCACAGATACATCGAGGCTCGTTCCCCTGTGAAGTGCAATTGAAACACTGTGTGAATTATTATTTTTCCAGCTTCAAGTTTTTCGTTATCCATGTATGCATGCATGTCTCAATGTTTAGAAGTTTTTTAACTAGGTTTTATTATTGCCTGGGAGCTTGTAACTCATATCAGGGGGAGAAATAATTAGAGTTTTAGAATGTTATTTAGTTCAAAAAATACCTAATTTTCAGGGTGTGCTTTGAACATGATTACTTTGTTTTATATTACTTAATTTTATGTATTTTTAAGCCCTTAAGAAATGCCTGATTTCTGTAGCAGTGTACCTTGGCTAGTACTACTCCCAACCTCCTCCTAGAAAAGACCCACGATCTTCGTGGCTCATTCAATTCAAATACTCACAGCTCGTGATTTCGTAAGCCCGCTTTTGTTGCTGCTCCCCCCGCTGGGAGCTGGGAGCAGTTGGTATTGCTGCGGGGTCTTAGCCCGATGTTGGACTTTAGCTGCAGCGGATTCGAGGCCACCAAGAGACGACTTGGACGACGACGACTTGGACGACGACGACTGCATGTGCGACTTTGGCTGCAGTTAGACGTCAAGAGATTTCTGCAGCATTTTTCTCAATCCCCGGCTCCACCTCCACCTCCATCGCCATCTCCATCTCCATCTGAGTCTGCGTTTTGTTTCTTTTTGTGTGGCGTGATGACCTTGAGCCGCTCATTTCAGCCAAGTGGCTCTATGTGTGTGTTGGCCAACTGGCTGTGGCAGTATGCGATTGTGTGTGTGTTGGTTGGTTGCTGTTACCCAGTTCCAGTTACTTTTGGCAGCACACTCAGTCCAAGTATCTTGTATCTTTCTTCTCAAAAGAACCTTCAAGAATCTCTAAGAGGAAAAACTAGGTGGTCAGCACCCTTAGCTAGTTAGAAATTCATAGTTTTATGGGGTTAATAATATTGGGTTTATATTTACATATTTTTATATCCCTCCATAGTATTTCGATTGTAGTCTGAAGTGTGTAACTAAGTAAATAATCATTTCCGACCTTATACATTATATATATTCTTGATCAGCATGAACAGCCGAGTCAATCTAGGTATGTTCGAGCAAAATTTAAATTTTTCAAAATTTTGAAAATTTTTTAAGGGGTTACATCGTTTATAAATCTAACAAGAACCAATATAGGAATGGTTTCTGAATCAAAATTAATGCATTTTTGGCTTAATTATGAGATTTTTAAACTTTTATTCGACTTAAAAAAGAATACAAAGAATACAAATATTTTAATCTAGTTATAATAGATTTCCAATTTAATTCAATATAATATTCAGTTTCTCGAAATGATTTTCTTTCTTGTTAATAATTATCTTAATAAATTATCACTTCTTCTTGCCTCTAAAAAAGCCAAACTGAAGTGAAAATCCTTAAGATATTTTTCATTAATTCCTAACATTGTAGAATTTTTTTCAGGCAAAAGAAAATGGTTTGGAAGCAACTGAAACACCCAAGTAACACCTCATATAATTGTAAACAAATTTCAACTGCTGTAAATAAAACAAAACACACATATTTTAGCTCAAGTTTTCTTTAAATGAGGATAAGTCAGGAAGTACTCCTTCTATATTCTGCTCTAATGTTGCATGTCCTTTGGATGACACCCCCTTATGCTCAGGTATTGGGCTCAAATGCAACTTCTGTTCCCGAGGACTCTTTGGGCACCCGTAAAGAAGCATCCAAGAAATTGCCAATGGAGGAATTCGTAATGGAGTTGAGCCAATTGGATAACGATGATGAAATTGAACTCAAGATGATAGAAGACCGAATGGGGAATGACACTGACATTGGCGAGGGAATTGTGGAGGGCAATGGAGGATGTGGTGTTTTACACCGTGAATATAGTATAACTTCTGGAGCTGATCAGCTTTTGATCTCCCTTTGGGTCATATTTCCAAGGATCTATATACTTGCAAGCCATTTCATAGAACCATTATATTAGACTATATAAATCTCTTAAGAACATATCCAATATATTCCCAATGGGTGAAGGAAAATAAAACTCAGCAAACTGTCTTTCTGCTGTCTCAGTTCTTGCGTATATTTTTCTCTCTGTGAACTGTGCGTTTTCTGCGACAAAAGGTGACCCAATTAACCAGGGGGTTCTTGGGCAGCACAATACATCCATCCGGAGACCTCCGGGTTTTGACATGGGACAGGTGGCAGGGACAGGGGCAGGGGCAGGGGCACAGGCAGGGGCACTCCACCACCTGGGGGCCGGTTCACATTCACTGAGTTAGCAAGAAATGCCTCGAATGTTGCAAGAACAGCAGATATACATATATATCGAAGCGAATTTCGCGAATAATTGGAGCAGTTAGCCAACGCTCACGTTTTGGGCAAGGTAACACTTGGCCAAGGTAAAGACCGATCCGTTGGTAATGCCATATGTGAACCCACAAAAAATATATTTAAGTATATGGAAAGAAAAGAGTGACGAACCGAGAAGGGAAAGTATGAGTACAAATCGATACAATGCCTCCTTATCGGTAGGATTGCTGCGAATGAGTCCTGTTGCCGATAAAGTGGCCTGTGTTGCTGCTGCTGACACATTGATAAAACGGATCAATAGTTCCTGATAAGCGTCCTGTGGAGGCGAACCCAGACCCCAGGGCTTATCGCTGTCATATCCCCGGGTCAGGCAGGAATCCTTATCTGCACTTGGAAAAAGCAGAGAAAGTAGGTTTCAAAAAGTAGATTTTATTTATATTTCATGGAATTTTATTTATTCAAAATATAAATTCTTACTTTCAGCTTTCGGTAATACTTTCAATAAACATCCTGGCCAGCTGCCACAGGACATAAGCCGCTGTTGAGACCAGAAAAGCACAGAAAACATAGTGCTGAATCTTTAGTCTGTGAAGAGAAGGAACTTAATATGTTCCAAGGACAACTTCCCAAAGAATACCCACCGATTCCTGAGCCTCAGACCCTTGCCATAAGACTCCAATGTGGGCTGATCCTTGGCTATGTATAGACGCATTCCCTCCATGACGCACCGGAAGTAGTCCTGCCAGTCCAGGTTAGCCATGTCGAAGTCATACATTCGACGATCCTGCTCAGACAAGGAATCCAACAATTCCCGAGTGTTGTCCATGCAAAAGTGCCAGGAATGATTGCTAAATGGAGCCAGATCGGAAATGTTCTTGTGGATCCTTTCGTACAGATTCATCAGGACAGATTCCCGCCACTGCAGGCGCAGCAAGATGTCCAGGCAGTAACCCGGCAGGATGTGCAGGAAAAAGGTGGCTAGCTGGTAGAAAAATCCAGATGAAATGCACAGCAGGAATGGATACCACATCATCCTTGTGGGAGGAATACGATCGCATTGGGACAGACAGGAATCGATCAAGGTGCCGCAGCTCAAAGGATTTTCCTCACTCGGAGCCAGAGTGTATATGATAGGGGGTTTCCCCCGTTGTCGTACATTTTCAGCAGTTTTCCAGGCACAAGCCAGGATCAGGTTGGCGCTAAAATCTGCTGGCACCACGGCGATCTGAGCCCGACGATCTGCCTGGATAACACGCACCACGCCGCCCAGAATGGGCACCAGGAGACCCAGGGGTCCAGAGACATGTCCTGCCCAGCCAGTCACAGGCTCCTTGTAGGTGGACATTACTGGGAAGTAGGATAACTTTATATATTCCGGATCCCATTCAACTACACTTACTAATTCCAGTTCGAAAAACACAAAGCGGCAAGTCACCTGTCTCTCGCAGGATCACATCCTCTGCCAAAGCCTTGGTGTAGAGACAAGTATTGGGAAAGGATCCCACTAGGACTGTGGTAATCTCGTCCAGCAGGTCGTGGCCTAGCAGCTCTCCCACAGCTAGAATCCTGTCTGAACTGTAGCTTAAATGTTCGGGATAAAACCTCTCCTCGACAGGACACTTCATGTACTTGGAGTAGGCACTGGAAATGTGGACGAAGGACTCGAGGTGGATCATTTGCTTGGCCAACTCAAGCATCCGCCGGGTAGCACGCACATTGGTGGCCAGGGATAAGTGCAGGGCTTCATCAGGACGAATAATTCCAGCGCCATGGATTACCACCTGCACTTCGGAGATCAGGATCCTTTGGTCCGAAGCACTGATGCTCAGATCCTGCTGCAGGCAATCCCCAGGAATGGGAGTAAGCCTTTCCAGAGCCTCTGGCTTTACTCTCAGTAGCTCCTTAAAAACCTTTTGAAATTTTTAGGAAAGTTAAGCAGTTTTCAGATCTTTACGGAACACTCACTGGATCCTTTCGCCAGCTTTTGAGACGTTCTCCGATGGAGAGACCCCTCTTGGGTCTGATTAATGCATAGATCCTTGTCACCTCCGTTGTTCGCAGGAGTTTCTCGGTAATAACTTAAAGAAGTGGTCATAAAAAGAAGCTCAGTGGGGGGTATTTTTATATAGGAATTACCTCTTCCCAAAAATCCTGTGGCTCCTGTTAGGAAAATGGTTTTATTTCTGAAGAATTCCTGGATTTCAGAGGCCATCTTCTACAGAAATTGAGACTGATTGAACGGAAAAGTCTTTCCAAACTGTGGCCGCTTTTCTTTTCACTTGGCAGAGGTGAAACCATACAAGCTTTTCGCGGCTTAGAGATGGGATTTTTATTAGAATTTATTTGGCGGGAATTTAAATTTGTTATTGGGAAAATTAAATAATAAAGATTACCTTAATTTTTATAATAATTCCAGAGCAATGACAAAGACAATATGTTTACCAAAGAACTTTAATAATAAGGTTTAAAATAAATAAATTAAAGATGAGGATATAAATACAGCAGACACAGGAAGATATAGAACACATTTTCAAATAGTCTTCTAAAACTTTAACTAGTTTTACAAATAAAATCCTTTCGTTGTAAGCTATCAAATATCAACCTTGGCTCCATTATAAATTTTATTACCATAATTTATCTTTATTATTTTTTATTTGGATACAATTTTTCCCGCAGTGTGCTGTCAAAAGGCAATTATATAGTTGCTGTATTCACACATCCTGGAACAGGTCGGGGGAAATCGCTGATATGGAAGAATCATAAATAGAGAAAATAAAATAAATATGGCTCGGGGAGTCGTTAAATATTTGAATCGATAAACGGAGTGTCCTCAAAAGGAACACTGGCTCCACTATCAGTGGATTCTCCGGGGGCGTTGACCATCTGGGCCTGCCCTCGCGGACTCTTATCAGTCGAGCTGGAGGCCGGCGGCACCCAAGTCTGGGACATTGTCCGGCGATGACTTTAAAATCCTCCCGGACGTCTGAGGGGCGGAAGACCCGCAGAGGCTTATCATGAGTAAATAATACAAGGAAATGCCAGCGGGGTAAGCCGAGGAAAGGAATGGAAGGCGGACAGCGGACAGCGAAGTTTTTCCTCAGGCCACAGGGAAATGTAGGAGAGGAAAACACAACGTGCGATAGGCCAAGGGCCAAATGAGCAGCAGCAGCAGCGCAGGAAAATGCAGAGGAAAAACAAACCTTTGGCGCTGGCAAAGTGCATTCGCCTCGCCACAGAATGGGAGTCAATGCCAGGAGTTGAGTCCACTGAAAATAATTAATATATATATACAAAAATTAAAAGTTAGGGGTGTATATGCCATGCTAAAAAGATTATAAATTTATTGAAACCATCCTAACTTTACATACACTTTCATTTTGGATCATAAATAAGCTTAAAATATAATATATTTATCGTAATTTTTATATAATAATTTGTTTAACAAATCAAGATTTAAAAATCTCATAACTATGCCAAAAATGCAATAATTTTTAATCAGAAACCATTCCTATGTTAGTTTTTATTAGGTTTATAAATCTGCATACTCAAATTATAATTATAGAACATTTAAATTTTTTCCAATTTTTGATAATTTTAACGATGTAATCCCTTAAAAAAAATACAAAAATTTGAAAAAATTAAATTTTGTTCGGACATAGCTAGATCGACTCAGCTTTCGATGCTGATCAAGAATATATATGATTTATAGGGTCGGAAATGACTCCTTCACTGCGTTTTATGCTTCTGACTGAAATTATTATAATAATAGCATTTAGTTTGATAGATTTTTGTATTTATTTTTAAAACATCTTTATGATTAAATTATAAATAATATTGATGCCAAAATAACTTAATTTTTGTCTTTTCTTGGCTATGAATACTACATATTTTCAAGATAAGTAAGTTTCAATATTCGTTGGCATCCCATATTTGAAATATTGATTAATAAGCAATCAAAACAATTAATCAGGCTAAACCGAAATGTATCTAGGATATTTCTATCTAGATCTCTATATCCATTTCAGGACTAACTATTTCTCCCAGTGTAACCGGCTAGGACCGATGGTGAAGTGGACAAGTGATAAAGCAAGGAGAAGGCAAAAGAGCGCCTCGTAGAATCCATTAGCAGTCGCTCGGAACGGAACGGAACGCAACGGAGTGGGGAAAGGGAAACTCCCGGGGAAATATATAGGAAAAATAGGGAAATGGGGAAATGATGGTGCAAGGAGAGAGAGAGGAACAGAGAGAGAGGAGTAGAGAAGGCAGCAAAAAGTGCATGTGAATGGAAATGGGTGCATGGAGCCCAAGTGGCAAAACCAAGTGTGCATCCCGACTCCCATTCCTCCGCCTGCAGCGTCTCCCATTTTCCTCATTATCCGCTCTCTCTCTCTTTCTCTCTTTCTCTTTCTCTTTAGTTGCCTCTCTTTCCGCCATTATCCCGAGTCTCTTTCCTCTTTCGTGAGAGCATGGCCGAAGAAAGGGTTCAATGCTCGATTTCTTCTTGGTCCCAGTCCCAGTTGCCATGGGAAAACGGAAAACGGCCTCAGGCGGGGAAAACTCTTTACGCAAATGACCCTCTCGGGCAGGATCAACCCCCTTTTCACTCCGCAATTACGTTCAATTAAAAACTCGTCCAAACTTTCAGTTTTTCGTGAATTCTGCGGGTAAAGGATCCCCCTCCCTTAGGCTCGAATTGATTGCCTTAATTGAGGGGATTCAATTGATGCAGTTCCTCCACCTCCTCCTCCAGAAGTAGTAGTCGTAATCAAACTGGGCAACACGCGTCTGTCGTGGGTCGTCTTGTCAAAATTATGCAGGATCGCGGATGCTACCGATTTGGGTGAAGGGAGTCCTCGATGAGGGCAGGATCGATATGCCTGGGAACGGAATTTGGTTAAGGAAGGTCCTCAAGAAGAGTCCTTGATATGGGGAATATGTTCTCAGATCTTTCATAGGGTTATTTTGTATGAAAAGTGTGGGTGAAGCTTAAGAGAGGTTCATCATTATAACAGATAATTTTATATATTCATAAATATATGTAAAGTATTTAGTAAATAAGCAACTAAAAATCCCTTATATCTCACTTATTTCTTATTCCTTATAAATATATGTGTGCAACCAATTCTTGATGCATTAAAGATTAACCAAATGTTGAAATGGTTAACCAATGACATATAATCCCTCAAGAAATCGCTTCTCAATTTGTTCATCTAATTATAAACAGTCAGTCCAGGCAGTCATCGGGTTGAGGCGATCCTCTGAGCAGAGTTCAGTGATCCCGGGACAAGGGAAAACCTGAAGGAAAACTCGAAAACAACAAAGAAAACGAAGCAAACAAAGGCAAAGGGAGATGGGATAAAGGAAACCTGAAGATAAAAAAGGGCAATGAAAAGATAAAAAGGGGCAGAGAGTCCGAAAGTCAATGAATAGAAATTCTATCACAGGACAATCAGGATGCGGAGGAATTAATGAAGCTGCCTGCCAGGACACTCGCCGATCACGTGGGTTGAATTCCTGATCCTCGAGATGTGCGTGCTGCGATACGCGTGTGTTCCAGGAATAGCAAACAGGACACGCCCACGAAAACTCCCCTTCTGTTCTTTCTAGGGAATACGATCCTGAAGGAATCTCTGTAGGCGCAGGATCTGCCTGAAGGCATTTTTGGTGTTGGGTGTTGAGTAATTTGTGCGCCGCTGCTGCTGCGATAAAAATCTGTTAAGCGGTTAACAAACATAAACAAAAGACCGGCAGGGGTTGAAAATATACGAAAAATGCACTTGAAAAATGGTAGATGGGGAAATTTAACAGCATTTAAGAAGTAAAATATATTTGACTTAGTTTTTATATTGAAATAAAATCTTATTTGTGGATCTATGGATTAACAAAATACATCATTATACCATTTAAGAACTTGAAAATTATAGTATAAGCACTCTATGAAATATAATAATCTTTTAAATTTTGTAACTATTTAATGCTGTTTGATTTCTCCCAGTGTTCCTGGTGCGGCGGGGGTGCGATCGGTAGCCGCTCCTTCTGGTCGAATGCAGGCGTTCTATTTTCGTGGCACTTAAGGCTTTATGTGGGTCCTTTCTGCGGATCTGTGCTTCCCCTAATCCCGTTTTTTTTTTTTTGTTTGGGGGGTAACTTCGGTGGCTATTTCTGTGCTCCTGCATGGCCGTGTCAATCTTCATTACGCCTGCTCAGTACCAGCATATTGCCCGAATCAGCAGCTCCTTATGCCAGGACCCTGGCTAGATTGAAAGTTCCCACATGGACGATAAATCAATAAAATGTTATTCAGACAATCACTTAACTTTTGACTTGAATAAATTGATTCGAGCAGGGAAGGAATTGAGAGAGAAATTCTTGTTGGGAAAACACCACAAATAGAACTCGATACTTTTCCCTCTTCTATTTATATGCAAAAATCAGGTAAGGAATGCTCTTAGGAGCGAATTCCTGTTCCTTTGTCTATCCACAAATTGCCGACAGATACACAGCAAATTGCATTTTTATCTATTTTCTATTTTTACTTGGAAAATGCCAGCCTCGCAACGCGGAGGATTACAAGGCGCACCATCATCATCACCAGCATCATCGACGAACCGAAGACGACGAGGCAGGCGGCTTCCTTCCTGCCTCAGAATCTGCTTTCTGCTTTCTGCTTCTGCTTTTTGCCGCTGTAATAATAAAACCGATCCCCAGTCCCAGGTCCCTGTTTTCCCTGCCTGCCAGTGCCTTTGGGCTGTAGGATGCGACAAGAAAAGCAGGAAAAACTCCTTGGCGCGCGCACACATGGACACATAGACACAGAGATCGGCATAGTCGTTGTCCTATCCCAGAGACCGGAGTGGGGATGTGCTGATGCCTTGGACTTTTTCCCGATAGATTTGTGTTACATCAAAGAATATATTATTTTTGGTATTTCAGTAAAAGAACTACGGGTCCTTATTCTTTACTTAAGTTATGATTAAATTATAGCATCATTTTATACTGTGATTAAAATATTTATCAATAGATACAGGTTCAAGATTTCACTTTATTAAATAATCAAATTAAATATGTTGTTATAGATAGACCTAATCAAAATCAAAATTTAAACAATAATTAAGGTAATTTAGAATTATTATTACTACACATATCTTGAAAATATATATATTGAAGATTTATTTAAATGTCACAAGAAGGAATATAAAGTAAACCTTTCCTTTATCATATATCCCTTCTAGACTTCACATATCCCCCAAATATTATACAATTTTCCCATTAAATCTTAAATTTTTCTATATTTCCTCTCTCCCTTTCTCTTAGCTAGTATTTATCCTTTGTTGGTCCAGCATCTCTGCCGCCTTTTTGTTTGTGGCTGTGTGTGTGTGTGTGTTTGAGAGGAGCTGCCTGGGCTGGGAGCGAGATGGAGTTCAATGAACTGCAGTCACCTCTTGGGGCAGCAGCAGAGCATCGCCTAGTCCTCTGCCTCTGCCGGCGATGACTGCGAATGAGGAACACAATCCTTTTTCTTTGGACTTTTCACGCTGCACGCTGCACGCTGCACCCTTCACTTGATCTCTG